AGCGACCATCTCTGTGAAATCACCCTGGTCAAGTCAATGTCACAGCAAAGCATTCATCAGATCTAAAGCCCACACTTTATAACTGTCTTGATTTTCAAAGTCCTACCCAACTCTCACAGCGCCCAGCCTGATTTGCTTTCTCCCCGGTCTGAAGGAAACTATGACGTCTTTAAAATGAAATCTGATCAAGCCTTAACTTTTGACAGTAATGCCCTTTCTTATGTGGCAGCAGCTTTATTTTGGGAATGTTATGGGACAAATAGAGTACTGTCTATCCCTGGGAGACAACCGGTAAAATGAGACTGTGATCGATCGGGAAAAGAAGAAACATGGTAGAGAAACTTTTGAAGCGACTGTCATAAGTCAGAAATTGGATTTGCTCCCTTGCTAATCCAGCTCCCGTGATAGAGACCTTGACGGATAGATGGTGAAACCACAAATAGATTATTAAGAAATCCCGGCAACGTGTTGAATACCTTTATATTTCAGACGAGGAAGCTGGCTAACAAGACGCGCGAGGCTTTGCGGTTGCCAATCATCTGAAACATTGTAGGATACCTAATCATCTAAGACAACGCCAAGCCTAATCATCCAAGATATGATTGTGAACAAGGTTTCTTCATTGGACTCACGACATGTCAAGGCTTCAGTGATCAGTCGTATTCATGGATAGAATGTCATTCGATATGCTTGGGCCAGGCTGATATTGTTGAGAGTTGGATTTAACGCCGCCATAACTTTATGAAAGCAATATCACCGTGACGTCTTTTCTGCTGAATATGAGGTGGTCGGTCCGAATGTTGTAGACGTTTATGATCGAACCAACCCACAAACGGGGCTGATCTTGGATGTGACCCCATGACCGGATACTAGTTGATACCTGGTGTATAGAGCTAACCACCTTCGTGTTGTTACAAAGACGTCAAAGAACCACAATCCGCATTTTCGCAATACTCCTACCTGCGACTCCACAGTACCCTAATCCATGCTGTGAAAATGCTCATATTTAAGACGTCACTTAAATCATAATACTCTCATTTATGACGCGTCAGTACTTTATTCCATGTTGAGACATGGAACCTAAGTACGACATCACGGTACCGAAGTCCGGGCTGTCACATTACTGGATTCTTCTCTGTGACGTCACAATCTCCTAATCCATGTTATGGCGATTGTCATGCTATGACGTCATCTCACCGTACACGTATCAATGTTGGAACAGTAACTAATCTATTACGCGTTAAAAATCGACACATGTTGTCTCAGTCCCCGTAAGAAACTGTAATCAACACTATACATTAATCTATGCAGATAGATCGGTATATGATGAAACCGCGTGACCGCAATAATGAAAAAGACTGAGACAAGATGTCTGTTTTGTTTACAAAACTAATATTAACTTTTCCCACTCATCAAATACAAAGAGAGATTAAATACCAATATTAAACTCTAGCACGCATGAAATGAATTCCCTATATTTCACTCACCTCTACAAGATGGGAAACACTGTGAAAATGGAGAGGTAATATCTTAGATTAGGCCATTAAAATAGCAGGGTTAAAACAAGCATTATAACTTCGAGCAAAACTGACGGCAAATGTGAGCATTAATTTCCACTCGAACAGGTACTCCCGCGATTGCCTAAGCAACGGAGCGTTCGGTAAATAACTCTATTCGATTAAAGGCATACATCTCCTTCTGCAGGGATATAAATTGTTGAATTATTGTTTAGTTAGGGTTATGATGAAGAGACCTTTTCCTTGTTCTGACAAGACATCCATCAAGATGAAAATAGGATCATACCTACAGATCTCCAGTCCAGGCACTGATATGGGTTTTGAATGTTCCAGAATGCACAAAAGCATGCAATTTAGCTACGAGGTGATGCGCACATTTAGAATACACGTTTAAGGGTGTCAAAAAGTTTGATTTCTCATTATGCCTAGCAATTTAGTTATTAAGCATTAATGTGAAGAAAAAAACAATTTAAAGGAGCAGCAAGTGAGACGTTTTATGCTGCTTTTAGCTATAATGCTGTCGTATCACTCTAAGGGACGCGAAGTATTGGCTCCATTCAGCCGAACAAATATGGACTGAAGGAAATTAAGTAGAATACAGGCATTCACTTTAAAACACAGTGTTTGTTCGGAAACGTGTATAAGGTGTTCACATTTGTTAACATGTTTCTACTAACTTGGTATGGTGTGATATGAGTGATACGTCGCCAGTGATAAACACTTTGTTCACACGAGCCTGGAACCAGTGCAGATCCCAACCCCGACCCCAACCCCAACCCCAAACCCAAGCCCGCAACCCGCAACCCGCAACCCCCAACCCCAACCCCACCTTTCCTACCCCAACAGTAGGAGTACCATTATGAAATGCATAAGTATGATCATTAGGGCAGGTTCTGTGTCTCTGTCTGGTTTCTTTGACTGCGCGTTATTAATAAATATGCATTTTATCCTATTCAACACAGTACTCATTACTATTACTGTTATTCCACTATTTCCTTTTCCTTTAACCAGCACCTGCTGATCCCTATTCGTGATTTACGATTCCTAGTTAACGACTAGTGGTGGTCCGATTAATTGAAATAATCGAAGATTGGTCGAAGTGACTAAACGACCAAGCAATCGATCATTTTTTCTCATAATCGAAACAAACAATTCTGGAACACCTTTTGCATTAACAATTTTTGTCACAAGGTTGGTTTTGTCTGTTACATTTTATGAGCACTACAAGCTTGGTACAAGTCATGATTGAATTTATCTTAAAGACCCCAAGAAATTTATGTTCGTAATATACTAGTCATCCTTTAAAGATGTGAAATTTGCGGAAAAAACAACCAAAGAACTACAAGTTTTTTCTTTATGTTTTTGTGCAAACAGGAAAATTTCATAAATGACGCTAACCAATTATTTTAGATGATTGAACGGTTGTAATGAACCAATCATCAATTATGAGATTTTAACCAATTCCCAACACTATTAACGACCCACTTTCCGTAGGTCACTATCCATCGAGTACCGGCTATTCACTACCCGTTATCCGCTGTCCAAAATCCATTGCATATAATCCAGTATCTACCATAAACTATGCACTAACATTATCCAGTTCATCATCCACTATCATCTATCCATATTTAAAGTTTGACTATAGATAGATGCTACCTTCTACCATTGATTACCCATCTATTACCCATAATCCACCACCCAGTCCATAATTTACTATCTATCATCCACTATCCATTTCACTAACTTGTATCTACCAACCATCATCAACTATCGGCTATCCACTCCACCACATCTGCAGCCCTGTCTAACATCAGCTATCCAGTCTACCATCTATCCACAATCTACAATCAACGTTGGACAAGATTCTTAGAATTTCGCTCCCTAATTTAGCGTCTTTTGACCCATCAGGATCGAGATGGGATCGATCCTTGAGTCCCCACGGGAAGGATGGTACATGGTATGTGTAACATGCTTGTGCCACAGTCTGTGGTCTTGAATACACATGGTTAGTCAGTAAGTACTTCAGAGATCTCATGACGTGTTTACAGCGTTGGGATCACGGCAAAACCGGTCACCCAGGAAAACTTTCAGTAATTGCCTGGAGTTATTATTAACATATCATCAACCTTAAAGAAGTCGTCTATCCATAAAAGTGTTCTACTTCATGTCATCAGAGCCATAGAGAATAAAGTGATAACAAACACTGACGTGTTGATGTGTGTGGTGGGTAGGTTGGGTAGCCACGTGGTTAAAGTGTTCACTCACATTACACTGGCGACCGATGTTTGATTGCCCGCATGGATGCATTGTGTGTACAAGCCTTCTTGGGTGTACTGACAGGCTTTCCATGAATGATTTCGTGTAGGGGTGAATCAGGATACATACAAAAATATGCAGATGTTTTCTTAGGAATGTGTAACATTTGTACCATAAATAGTAGTAAAATACAATTCAACATTATTCATCTTGTTTAAGGGTCATCTGGACGGTTTCAATCATTTGTTAAGAAAAAACGGGAGCAATAAAAGTATCCTCAGTGGTGAAATAAACAACGATCTGTAACCTGCGCCGTGATATATTCGTTCGGAACTAGGCCAATTGCAACCCACATTTAGTTGCTCTTGTACGCGACGGCAATAAAGTCAAAATTTTAATCACAAATCGATTTCTCTGCTCATATTACTTTCCAAGTATGGAAACACCTTTGCTCATTTCCATCTCACTTGAACCCATTATCTGAAATCTGCCACATACATTCCGTCTATTAACATACATAAACACGATCTTAGATTTTGTGAAATATACAATGTTGTATTGATTATTATTCTTGACCCAATTCTGTACTCGGTTTCAAGATTACAAGCTGTTTGATTGAAATGTGAGACCACCACGGGCTGTAAAACGGATGATTTTCCACCAGCAACAGTCATTTGTTTTAATACCACGATGTGTTGACGAGGCCGCATGGCGTCACTTACACGTGTTGCTATTGTAAAGAGTTTGCCTTTTCTGCCTTCGTGGTCGTCGATGATCAAAATTTTCATAAATCAAATCTCCTTCGGCGACTCTTCAACAGTTGAATTAAAAAGCTGCCATCAGAGTGATGCATTGGACCTGGCATGTCACGAAAGAAAACGGAAGAAATAGAGAGTCATCATTGCAGAAATGTCAACCAATCTTGAAATTCTAAGCCTCCAATTTGTTAACTGTGTCGAAGCAGTTGTCATTTTTTTTTTAAAAACTAAAACCAACTTTATATGCCACCACTGGATTGATTTTCCATTTTTCACGAAGAAACCGCTGAAAACGAAACAGCTAGAATTAGTCTTTTCTCAAACAGCACCTTCGAACAACGCATTGGTATTGACTGGAGTTGATCATCTTCTCAATTCAACGGTTGTGTTCGGAAGGCATCAGATTCGGTTTTAGATCACTACTTTCAGTGACATTTGGATTCCAGAGTCAGCGGGGTGAGAGAATCTATTGGCGAACAATCATCAGATGAGAGATTAAGCGAGAAAACGGCTCCAAAAACATCAACAACTCGGCGTGAAATTAACATGACATAGGATCTCAAATACCGTCATACAATATTTATGTCTAAAAGCAAGGATCCGCCAGGCTGTGAAATTCCCAAGCATTCACACGTTCTCGCCTCCCAGCTTGACGCGAAATTACCTTGCATGGAACCAAACATCAGATTAATTGTGTTATTTTCCTCTTAATCGTACCGGCCGCACAAAAAGAGCCACTGCGAATCGAGATACAATCCCAGCGCTTTATATAAGTTGGCTGAGAGTCTTCGACCACTCATCGTGTTCTCGACTGCGTCCTGAGTGACTGAATATCGCTGCTCAAAACCTGCCCAGACTCACTACACCACTCGCCGATCATGACGCTAGAGGATAGAGGATATTACTGGGAGCCCGAGAGGAAACGAGAGCAAACACTGTTATCGTAGACTCTCTTAATTCCATTACTTGCCTCTACCCGTGGATTTCGACCAGGAATCGCATGACATAACAGGCAGGGAACACGCATGCGCGTGGAGGACTTCCAGATTTCACACGAGCACGTTGGTTTGTTTTCTGTGACACGAATTTGACCACTGAGTCGCCATTAGAGCGTCACGATCCCTTGAACGATGAAGTTCCGGACATTTGGATTTACCTGGTGTGTGATATTTCTTCTTCGAGCATGTATTGCGACAGAAAATATGGAAATACATATCGGTAAGTAAATAACTTTACTATCTATTTGAGTTAACCCTTTTGGTCCTAAAAGGAAGGGAATGATATTGATGATCATTTAATGCCCGTGTCTATATTTCTGTGATATTTTGTCATTCATTTAGCTGGTCACACTGACGCAAACCCTCCAATCAGCTATAATAATGTTTTAACAGTACGTCCCGGACGCTGGATTTGAAACAGCCTGTCGATTAAGATTTAATACCACATCAATAGTATTATAATACTTAGGTGAAATTACCCAAACACATACATTGATCGACATCGGTTACGAATGTTGTCCAAATGGGTTTCTTGTTTCCTTCCACAATCAACAATGTTTGATAAATCACTTGTGGAATATTAGAGCATAATCAATACTGCTATACGTTTACCAATGATGATGCTATTAATTGCCCATTTGTTTGCTAGACACCAAAGCCTAAGCATATGGTAAACACAGATTGTGATGGGGAGAGAGAACATCAGACTCGATCATGGGTCGACTGACTCCCTGGTGGACGCAGTTGCTCCATCATCAGCACACCCTGCTGGAATTATTGACCTTTGACATTGGCTTCCTGTCCTATCATTCTTAATTACACATGCTGTGTGCATCCCCCCTGTTTTCACACTGACGTTCTTTCGTTACAGGTCTCTTGCTTGACGAGAAAACCATCGATTTAGCGACTATAGTTGAGAAGGCTATACAGAGATATAACAATAGAAGTGATTCTCGTATACTTCTAAAAAGCCATACCCTGGCTGTGAACGTTAAAGACAGTTTCAACTTCACCAAAGCCGGTAAGTATCCTCACCCCTCTCTGGACACACATTCCAACATGACGTGAGGCCCACACTAGTACAGGTACCTCCTCGTGTGTCTATAGATACCATAGAAATCTAGTCCGTTACAAACGCTTTGTAATTAAGTTACTATCGACAGTGGTTCAGCCTCCACCAATAATGTTTTATCACCGTTGAGATTAATATAAATTTTTGATGATATCGGAACCTCCCTGAAGGCATTTAAGATGTGTGAAAATGACTAGCTGCGGAATTACTGCAGCGGCCCTTACACTGGGAGATCAGAATTTCAATCCTCTTTCGCCAATGACGCTAATGAAAAGCATTAAAATCATCTGGGTTTCACGTTTCAGAGGGGACCGAATTCTATTGTCCTGTACTGGGAAGGCAACTATCATCCCAGACAAGGCATTAAAGAGCTGTTACTCTGATTGTAACCGTAACAATGACAAGGAATCGTGTTACCTTTAAACCTTCAAATAAATGTTGCTATTGAAAAACGTACCGATAAGACGAAACTAAGTGTACTTTGGGCCCAAAGCCCATAATTGGACAAAAATCGTATTCACTGCCTTTTGGTCTTTCTGATAGGTTTGGTTTACGCTTCCTTTATGCGGCGCATTCATTTAGTTTCGATTTTCTCAGTAGTCTGACACAGCCTGAAGTGCCTTGTTCACAATTGATCTACTAACTGTTCTGGGTTTTTGTGTTGATGCCAACTGCCTTTTAATTTTACTCGACGTGGGCTACATTGGTTTCTCCAGCCCTGGTGGTTTAAGTAAGAAGACACCTGACACGGCCGTGTTAGAAATAGATCAATTACTATCATTATAACATCTCGGCCAAATCTCTGAAATTCATCATTATGTTAGGTTTACGTCCCCCTTTGACCTGACAAGGTGTTTTGATTCCTACTAAACCATATTTCGCTGTTTAATGTGGAAAGCAGGTTCCGTGCTTTCTGTGTTAGAATTTATTGAATGGTGCATTTGATAATTTTGTTGCAATAGTTTATCAGTACTCCACAAAGTGATTAACTTCACCGTGTGTGTTGTTTTCCATCATTATATTGTTTTTGAGAATTTTTGTAATTATCAAAGGCTTTCTTAAATCACATTACTTTATCACAAATTCAACCCGGGTACGGTCATTTCACCAAACGTAATGGCACTTCAACTCGAATGTAACATTAATTCACTTTAGCTTGATTTTATTAAAGTGATTCATAAACCAAACTAATTCATTTAAAGCTGTTTTGCAATGATCAAGGACTTTGGAATCTTTATCGCACATTTCCATTCACAACGTTTACATTGATTAATCAATTCTACATTCAAAAAATGCGGTCTTATTGCCCATGCCTCAACCAAACACTATTTGAGTCTGACCCAATCACCAAATTCCTCTATATCAGCAACTCACATTATATAATTCACATGGCAATTATCCCACCCAGATCAATATCGACTTTTAACAGCCAATAGGTAGTCAAGTACGCATTTATCAATTAGAGGCCGATCCTAGAGCTGAAAAGTCTCATATTTGGAGCGTTTCTGGTTCATTTCTTTGAGTTCAAAATTAAATATTGACAACAAAACATCAAACACGAAATATTTTACAGTCAATTTATCACATATTCTCTGCTCCATCGAATAATATTGTATCGAAGTAAAGACTGACTGACTGAGTTTGGTTTTACGCCGCTTTTAGCAATATTCCAGCAACATCACGGCGGGGGACACCAGAAATGGGCTTCACACATTGTGCCCATGTGGGGATTTGAGCCCGGGGCTTCGGCGTGACGAGCCAACGCTTTAACCATTAGGCTACCCCACCGCCCCTTCGAAGTAAAGAAAGAATAGACATACATGCTAGACCTTGTGAATTGCCTTCCGCTGTGGGGTTAACTCCTCCGTTGTTTAGTAGTTTCTTTTATGGTTAATTATTTTCTTAGGTTTTATATCTAAATTGACATAAACATTGTCTGATAAAAAAATGGAATAATATGTATTAAGGTACATTACGGTTTCATGTCAGCTTAGTTTGAGCTGTTTGGATGTTTGTACATTCACTGGAAGGGATGAGCACGGGTGCGGTGCTGATCAGCTCGGCTAGACAGTCTGGGATTCGAACCCAGGATAATAGGTTTTGGACGCACCTCAGCGCTGAATACAGCTGTGTCTCAGATGACTTGGCCATAGTCAAAGAGTGGAATCGATTGAGATTGCATTGTTTATTGGCGTTTGTGGTCATGGAATTCGTCGATAAGTATACTTAAACTTGAAATATTTTACCATTGATAAAATACAATATATCTATATCAACTGACAATGAGTGTATTTAAGGTATTTTCGTATTGAGTTAACAAATCAAAAGAAACCACAATAAATGCAACTTGTACCGTAGTATTGACATTCCGGTACACATCAAGTGATTCTGTTTTAGGTATTTGGTTGAAAGTAATGCGTGTAATGATTCAAATTCACTCCACTCTAACAGTGTGGTTGAACGTACATGTTATCTGTTTGACTATACATAAAGGATAGAGTAGAGTAAGCTTGTTACTGCAGATCTGATTTTTGTCCATATATAAGATTGTAATGGATGTCACTACGTGGGCATTGCAATGGTATTGACTTTCTGCTTGTTCCTTCACTGGTACGTATAGGATTGTTCTCAAACAAATGAACATCTCCTCTTATTTATGTGAACTGGCGTTACCACATAGCGATTGTTGTTGATACTTTACACAGAACCTGCTCCTGATGTATAGCACCATAGCATTGTATCTCACTTAGAGGTATTGACGTCACCGCTATTGACCGTTACAACTGAAATGATACCACGTTTATCAGGACGGTGTCAGTCCGGATTAGAGAGTTCCTTGATTAATGGTTCATTGAGTATCGAGTCAAATGTTTTTCACAATCGGTAAATCGTTCGAAGGAGGGAATAAGATTCCTTTTAATAGCATCAGATAATGCGCGAAGCATCTGTTATACGGAGGATAGAGACACTGTAGAATCTGAGCAATATATTGAGCACCTCTTTCGAACTGGTATCGCTATGTCGACAGTTTAGTTTAAGATCATGTAGTAATTTAGGATTAAGCTTATAATGTTATTTTTTATAACTTTCTTGTGTATGGGTTAAGTAGCACTTTAAGTTGTTGGATATAATGTTTGCAATTTATCGCTGCGATTTGGGAGTTGCCTCCCTTGGGTATGTGCGGATCTAATGGTCGTTGGTCCAAATATCAGTCGCACTCTTTGGGATCCTTAGTGTATAGTTTTCAAAGTGTTTATCGTTCGAGACCTGCACCTTTTTACGTTTTCCTCGTCGGCTGTGAAAAACATGAGGTACTTTTACAAAAAGCATTAGGAGGTAAAATCATCGTTAAACCCAACTAACTCACTCACTCCAACAGCGATGAACCCAAGCATGCCTCAAAGAAAGCACACATTGAGATACCGCAAAGCATTCACTGAACGTATTTCAACGTGTCTGTTTCACTTGGAAAAAGCTTCAAATGTCAATATGTGCTTGAGAACTTCCAACAACGTCATAAGGTTCAAATTCAGTGAATAAAGACGTTCGAAGTGACGTCAAGTCGGGCAATAAAACTAATGTAATGGAGAAACGGGTTATAAACTCCATAAATTCCCTTTCGTTTTAAAAAAAATCATATTAACCTAGAATTTAATGAATATCTGAATGTTTAAACAGTTGCACAGTTACTAGGGGTGGTTTGTGTGTTCAACTGCTTTTAGGTCATTTAAAAGGGATTAGAGAACGCGTTTGCTCAAGACGTTAACAGAGCCTCTCCCCGGTGTATATTTATTTGAGACCCTATGAACTCGTTTTATTCTTTTGTCAAATAAAGCTGAAATGATTTTATGATTGTCAGTGGGTCAGTAGATGCACTTAGCTTTCGACTGACATATCATTACTTCTAGATCCGTAATCCAAACACAGTCCTTCTGAATTATTTCTCTGTGAAATGTTATGTAAATGTATTGCTCCCAATAGTTCGGAATCTGTCGCCATGATCTGTGTTAATGTGGGCATGGATGCGCACGTACGAGGCAGCAAATCTCATCGGTAGAGTCCAAAGAGGTTTTTCTGTTACAAGATCCGTGTAACAGCAAATCAATTTGGTTTGAAGTGTTGCTTTGCCTCGATGTCACAAAACACACTCTCTTCAGTAGCATTAACATTCTGGTTATAAGAGGAAATAATGAACTTTGAAGATTTCACGGATGATCAAGACATGCAGAACCAATGTTTTGTATCAATATAATGTTTACACTGATTGTTGAAATCTGTTAGATGTACGGACGTTGGAAATGGATACTTTCATATCGCATATGGAACTTCAGAATAACTGTGTTATAAACTTTGATGGATCTGAAACATGCATACATAATCGTAATGATTCTGTGAAACTAGCCCCTAACAATGCTGCCAGGTTAAATGTCACAGAACACAGTAGCAACCCAAGGGCAAGCGACAAATATAGTTAATATTCTGTTGAGCTGTATAAAACATTTCAGACATACGGTTGTCTGAAGTTACACTCTGTATTTGTTGAGGTTTTCCCATTTTGTATGATGATGTTTATCGAATATATTTGACAGAAAGTAATTGTACATTTTCTGGGAACCATGTGAAGCTTAACACACGCAATGGTGTGTGTTCGTTCCTCTCATGCATGGTCCTTTCTTGACTGTGACCATCACTATTTCTTGATACATTAGTGTGTTCAGAATCGTAATCAAAGGCCCGGTTCTCATAACGAAAACAAAATGCATTGTAGATACGCTGGCGTTTGTTCACACCCCTAATGCATGGATCTGTGAACCATCATGTCTCGCCTAGATACACTGGTGTGTTCACATCCGTAATGCATGGATGTGTTCTCTCACTGTGAACGATGTCTTGGCTAGATACACTAATGTGTGTTCACATCCCTAATGCATGGATCTGTTCTCTCACTG